GGGAACACGGCGGGGTTTCGGGAGCAGCGCGGGGAGCTGCTGCCGCGGTGCTGCGCGGTGGCGAGGGCAGACGTCCCTGCGGCCTTAGCATCTTGCCTGTGTCCCGAGGGATTTTCCAAGCACGTTTCGCAGCTCTGCACTTCAGCCATGGGTTTGGCTGATGTCCAGAGCTCCCAAGGCAGGTGGGAGCCCCTCGGCGAATGGCTGCGGGGCTGGGATTGTGCGTACGAGCTCTGGGAATCTCTTCTGGGGCCTTTGGGAGGGTGGAAGAGCCTTTTCCATGCAGTGGTTACATTAAGGCTTTGAAGTCTGGGGGAATTTACACGCTCATATGAGAGTCTGGAGGCAATCGGTTTGGGATTTTTTGCTTTCAAATTCTCCTTAGCTGACGTGGGGGCTTTGCAAAAGCACTTTTTTAAAGGATTAAAATAAATCAGTTGAAAATAAGTATTGTTCTCTATTTGGTGGAACGTTCCCACTTTGTTTAATGGATGTGTCACCTCTGTATGTGCTAGCACTCGTGACTGGTTACAAGGGACAGAAGGCAATTTATGGCAAAACTGGAGATAGTGGCAACCACAGGCCCAGGAGGAAAGGGATTTTCCCTGGGGATACCCAGAAAAGAGTTAAAGAGGGTGTTCTTTCCTTTATTCCTGAAAAATGGCATTCAGTGCTATAAAAAAACCTCTCTTGGTCTCGTTACAAAGATGTCTTTGGTCTTGTTACAAAGATGGATTGTTATTTTCTGACAATAGTTTGCTAGAGAGGAGGGAAACGCGGGACTCTGAGCACAGGGGTGGCTGCTCTGTCTTTGCCCTGGGTTTGTGCCTGGCGCCGGCCTCGTACTCAGGCCGAGCTGCCCTGCGGGTGCAGAAACCCAGGGGTTTTATCCAGAGCTGCAGATGCTGCTCCGAGGGGCCGAACGCTGCTTCCAGATGTCCTGTTTGGCCATATATTGCTTTGGGCTAGCAGCTTTACAGCCCAAAACGCCGCGGGGAAGCCGAAGAAATGAGGTGTGTGAGCGGGAAGGCAGCAGAGCTCAGTGCGGTCCTGATTGTGCCGTAAAGCAAAGTAGGAGCTGAAAAATGGAGAGGGGCTGGAATGCGCTGGAACGTTGCTTTTTCCCTTGTGCAGAGACCAAGTATTCAGCAGCTAAAAATGTGGGTAGGGAATGTTAGGAATCCCGGGTTTCATTCCCAATTCCAGTCCTTGCTTGGGGCGTCTGCCTCAGATTTTCCATGCAGAGAATTTTTGTTTGCCCTTTTGCAACACGCTGGTTGCTGCAGAAGAGTGAAACGTTTGAAGCTGCCCGGATTGAACGTTTCCCCCTTCTGGTTATGCAAACATTCAGTTTTCTTGCTGCTTCTCCAAGACTGGATTTTATCCCATATAAATAGAGAGGTTTTATGCTTTCCAGGTGCCAAGTGCAATGGCTCCATCTGGGCAAAGCATCCGCCCTTGTCCGAAGGAAACGGAGTTTGTGAAAGATGTGCTGGAATATTTAACTTTCCGGAGTGAAAGGGAGTGATTCCCGAGAAGGCTATGGATGCCAGTGTGTTGGTAGAACACATTTTGTGTGTGTGAATGCACTGAAGAACTCCTTTCTTATAAAGCCAATTGCATTAATGACTCGGTGCAAGTTGCCATTCCCAATGGCTCAGCCTGTCCCTCCGGCTCCGTCGCTCCTGCCCGGTGAGACGGCATCATCCAGCGGCCCCTTGGGGCACAGGGAGCCGGCGCCTGCTGCCTCTCCAAGGCTCTTCCCTTTCCTCGCTCCATCCCCTGGGATGGGTTTGGTGACGGTCAGGGCGCGCTCGGGCCCTCGGGATGGAAGGTGGTGGGTGGATACGGGGAGTGTTTTACTGGGTGGAGCGGGTCCGTGCCTAACTCGGAGGTGCAGTGGGAACCTGGATCAAAGGTGCATTTCGAGGAGTCGCTTCAGTCTCTTTTTGGTGCTAGTTGGTGGGTTTTTTTTTCTCTTTTTTTTTTTCCTGGAAAAGTGAGGATTTGGAGGTTGTACTTGAGGAATTAGATGTAGAATCGCCTCCAAAAGCCATCTTGGGACATGCGAGCGTGTTTCCTGCACGTCGTTTGTGCAGTTGGGAGGTTTGGAAGCTCCCCGCCTTGCGCTTTCTGCCGTCCCCAGGGCCCGCACAGCCCGCGCTGGGTGTCACCGCATCCGGATACAGCCACCTCCGGCTTTTCCGGCCCTTCCCTAACCAAGAGTCCTCCGAGGTGGAAGCTGCAGGTCAGTGCCCATCTTTTCCGCCCCTTTGCTGGTGTCTGTACGTGGCTCTACGGGACAAGGTACCTTTGAACTTACCTTGGGGACCAAGCACAGGACTCTGGTGACACCAGCGCAGGTCCCAGCCTTCACCGACCTCTTCCAGCTCTTCCTGCTGCAGATGGAGAAGAGGCTGATGCTGCGATTCTCCCCTGGGAAACGCTTCTTACGCTGTAGGTACATTCCTAGGTCACTCGAGTACCCCGAACAGGCGTGATGCCACCTATGCTTTTGTGCTCCCATCAGACCAACGTTTCTGGGAGATACCCAAAAACGCGGAGGCTACCATGCTGATAATGAAAATATTGAATAGGTTTGGGGGAGGAAGAAACGAAGAGAACAAATTGGCCAATCTACTGGAATTAAAAGAAGCCTGAGATTTTCTTCAAAGCTGGACCAGCTGTATGCTCACTTCTCCATGAATTCTACATGGATTTGGATGTGTAATTCCCTAATCTTTCTTTTTTTTTTTCTTTTTTTTTTTTTTCTGGCTGCAGATTTTTGTTCCTAACTCAGTGCTTTGTGCCTCTACTCTTTGAGTGAAGAGGGTTAGGGTTTAGGGTTAGGGTTGGGGTTAGGGTTTTTTTTTTTTTCCCACAACACATGAAATAAAAGCAGTTCCCAGAAATGTTTTATAACTACAAGGGCACTTTTGGGGAGCGCACATTTGAGCTGGTAGCTTTTCTTACCACCTTAGTTATGGTGTCTCTTTGTTCAAAGTAAGATTCATTCAGAAGAGACTTTTTCTCATCAAGATCCAAGCCTGAGCCTGCAGGGAGCCGGGTGCTCCCTTTCCTTTAGAGCAGCCGGCGAGCGCGCTGCGAACCTGCGTCCTTTGGATATTCCAGCCCGAGCGGCTGCAGGCGGAATGGGGGCTCCCGCAGGGCATCCCATGGAGTATCCCACTGGGCATCCCGCAGGGCATCCCTGCACCCCGTGCTGCCTCGGGGATGCGGCTGCGTTGCGAGGCGGCCCCGGCGCCAACGGGAGCCTGCGGGCGCTGGGGAGGCTGCGCGGGGAGCGCGCGGGGCCTCTCTTCTTGAAGGCATTTTCCCGTCAGGGCTGTGTGCAGGAGCGAGGCCATCACTTAAACAGAAAATACAGGAGAAAGGAAAAGGGTCCTGGGCGAGAGCGCGGGCTGCAGCCCGGTGTCCCGGTAAGCGCGGCGGCGTTCCGCCCCGGCGCTGCTCCATGCACCGGTGGTGCCACTCGGAAAGCGGTGCCGGGGGAGAGGCTCCCTCCAAAGAGGCTGGGCCTGGCCTGGTGCCGGGTGGCCCGGTGAGGGGCATGGCCGGCGTGGGAGCGGGACGGCGGGACGAGGGCAGAGGTGAGATGAGGCCGCGGGGGCCTCGGCCCTGCCCGCACTGCGTCCCGCTCCGGGGCTTTCCCGCACCCATGTCCTGCTGCCCGTGGGAGGGTGCTGGCCTGGGAACTCCCTGCTGGTGCCTGACCCCCTTAGGGGAGCCCTCTGCTCCCCCAGAGTGGATTAGGGCCCCGGCGCCCACGCGTTCTGCCTGGCCCTTCCCATGGATGGGATGGGGCCACCATGATCCAGAGCCCCTAGATGGGACGGGGGAGCCGCAGCCGGCCCCCCTGCCATGGGTGATGTCAGCGCTCACGCAGCACCCCCAGCCATCCATCCATCCATTCCTCCATCCGTCCATCCACCCACCCATCCATCCATCCCATCCGTCTGTCCATCCATCCATCTATCCATGCTCCCTCCATTCTTCCTTCCATCGCCCTTTCTCCCCGCGCATCCCTGCATCCGCCCCACCCTCTTGCCCGTGACCCTCTCCCCTTTCCCCCTTCTCTTTTTTCCCTTCTTTTCTATTTTATCCTTTTCCCCCGCAATTTCCCCCCCCACCTCCTCCCTGCGCCCCCCGCCCCCCGGGGCCCGGTCTCTGCTGCCCCCTGCCGGCTCCCC